GATTAGAAGATAAAGATAGATAGATAGATAGATAGATAGATAGATACATAGATACATAGATAGATAGATTTAGATAGATAGATAGATAAATAGGATAGATAGATAGATAGATAGATAGATGAGATAGATAGATAGCTTAGATAGATAGATAGATAGAATAGATAACCGATAGATAGATAATAGATAGATTAGATAGAATAGATAGATAAATAGATAGGAATAGATAGATAGATAGATAGATAGATAGATAGATAGATAGCGTATATTATTCTTCACTCTTATACTCTCACTCTTTCCTAATTGCTTTATTGTGATTATCATTCTCAGAAAGAGGACTTCTATGGATTCATGGCTGTTGACCTGTTTATTTGTTTTTAAACTTTCAATGACTTCTAAAAACTACAAAATACTGCCTCGTGAGGTAAGAGTATAAAGAATCTAGTATATAAAGTCAGCTCTCGTCTGGATATTGTACGATAGCCTAGGACTACGAAGCAGATAACAATATACAGGGTTTAGAGGCTTCTAATAATTTCCACGAAATAACATCAAAAGCTTGTGCACTGATTCTTTGCCGATTATTTTATCACAGCACAGTATGAGCGCGCGTGCGCATGTGTATGTGCGCGTGCGTTTGCGCGCGTGTATGTGCGTGCGTTTGGGTGCGTATGCGCGCGCGTGTTTGCGCTCGCACGTGTTTCTATGTGTAGCGTACATCAAAAAATCACGGAATATAATATGGATCAGCAGCACAACCCCAAACCTTAGCAACACTCATGCACGCACGTAAGACACATCATACATTCATTATTATCAGGCACAAACAGTGTGTGAATTTACTCATTCGTACGCGTGCCGGGGTTGAAATTGAATTATGGCGAGTTCAAGACATGTATACAATATAACGTATGTATATTATGCAATAAACGTAAATATACACGTTTGCTTAGTTACTCGGATTCGTTCTTCGTTCAAAAGAAACTGAGCTAGCTAGTGACGCACAGGAAACACTCGCCTACTCGCTGTAAACATTGAGCAGGCGTGCGAGTACCGCTATAACCGCGTGATTCTCGTTATAATTTATCGTCATTCATCTCTGCATGTGAGGCCATCCAGCACAGATTCCCGAGTTTCTCCCACACTAATGTATCGCGCATTATCTGAATGCTAAATCGCATAACGGACGCCGCAGAGTCAGCCGCACCAGCAACCCCTTGTCGAGCGGATTAGCTCGTATTTGCACGGGATGCAATTTTCGTTGGCCAGCGAGAATAAAGCATGGCTGGATGTGTCCCTGACGGCTGAGAATCCCAGACTTTGCCGCATTATTGCTCTCATTACCACCCCACCGGCGGTGCGCAAACCTCCCGTTGGCAGGTCGTAAACATGACCATCAAACGGCAAATTGAATTTCAGATTGATATTCGGACTCTCCACGCGATTATAGGTGCGGGCTCGACTCACCACCGCTGATGGCGGGGAGTGGGCGAGTTATGCAACGCTATGCAGTTGGCTCGACTCGGCGCGCGTGAGTTAAGTCGACAAAATTTTGTCAGCATGAATAGACTAGGCTCATTTCATATGCATGACTACGTCAGCATAAGTAAATTAGGATTACTTAGTTAAAATTGCATTGATTAGTATGAATTTGTAAACATGACTATGCCAGCAGGCGTAGGTTATGTTGACTTTTCGTGTCTGACTAGTTTTAAAGTTATTAAGAATAGTTTACTATGACGTTCAAGGCTGAATACAAGAATTTAGGTAAAGGTTCGTTTATTTATCTTTTTTTTTAACATTACAGATATAACTTACCTTAAAACAAAGTTATATAACTAAATTTTACAAAAAATACAGCTTTAATCAGCGCGCAGACATGTTGTTTTATAAAGGTAAAGGCACAGTGTTTAAAGTTAAAATGCGTAGTTAGGGTAAGAGCACAACATACCCAGGGAGGTTCATTTTCATTTTCTTAACAGAAGTTCAACCACTGGGATCAAGGGCGTTAACATTACAAATACACGTGGGGTGTCTAATGGGGATGCCGCACCGATAAATAGGCACCCGTGGTGGAAATCCTGCTTTTTAGCTAGGGTCGTAGCTAGCGGGTGGGCAAGAGGCCCTTAGACCAATGTAGACATTAATACATTGCTAATGACGAACTAGCCACGGTCAAATATAGTAGGCCCTAAGTATTTTGACCCAGATGGCACCACCACAGAGGTTTTGCTATGTGTAGGTATGATACAAGTTTGCGGGTTAGTACAAGTATATCTGTTGATTTACAGTTGTATATATATATATATATATCAGTATGATATACAGAGCCTACACGACGACGCTTAACTCGAGTTAAGGCCCCGTGTAGACGCTTAACTCGAGTTAGCGAATAGATAACTCCACGATAGGCGGCAACACTAGTACGATGTACGTACACACGCACGCCAGCGCGTGTACTTGCACACGCACGCACACACTCACATGCACGCACGTGTACGTGCACACGCACGCACGCACGCACGCACGCACGCACGTCTACGTGCACATGCATGCACGCACGTGTACCTGCACACACACGCACGCACGCACGCACGCACACATGCACACACGTGTACCTGCACACGCATGCACGCACGCACGAACGTGTACCTGCACACGCGCGCACACACGCACGCACGCACGCACGCACGCGTACGTGCACACGCACGCACGCACAAATGTGTACCGGCACACGCGCGCACGCGCGCACGTGTACGTGCACACGCACGCACGCACGCATATGTACGTGCACACGCACGCACACACTCATGCACGCACGTGTACGTGCACACGCACGCACGCACGCATGCACGCACGTGTACGTGCACACGCACGCACGCACGTCTACGTGCACATGCACACGCGCGCACACACGCACGCACGTGTACGTGCACACACACGCAGGCACGTGTACGTGCACACACACGGACGCACGCATGCACGCACTCACGCATGCACGCACGCACACACGCACGCACGTTTACATACGCACGCATGCATAATAAATCGGTAATAATCGCTATCGGGTGTTGTCATGTAGACGCTACATAATCGCTAACTCGAGTTAACGCTTAACTCGAGTTAGCTTAACGTCGTCGTGTAGACGAGGCTTATGTGTATGTTTAACGCGCGCGTACGTGCGCGCGTGTGCGTGCGTATGTGCATGCATGCGTCGGCGCGCGCGCGCGAGTAGAATTACTATGCACCCGTAATTACTATGCACCCGTATGCCGCGTAGAATTACTATGCGTCCGTGGGTGTAGATTTTATTGTGTAGACATGTGTGTGTAGGTTATAAGGTATTTATAAGTCTGTGGGCGTAGACTCTACAGGCGTCCGACGGTGTTGGTCTCTGACCTCGACACTACTCCATATGGCGGCAATGATATTGAATTTTTTTTACCCGCATCATTTTAGCGTCTGAGGGTTGCATATATATATATATTGTGACTATGTTGCTCGTTGTGCTAATAGAAGACGGCGCCAGTTTTCCCTGACCCGATTACATCTTTGGTCTTTGGAGTTCTCGGCTCGAGGGGTGCCATCCGTACTTACCCGCGACCTTTGCGGTTGAACTGGAAACTGGCTCTACTGCGGCTAGTAGGTCGAGGCGGTTGCACCCCTTGCCGGGCCTTGGGCCAAGACTGCCGCTGTCCGTGAGGACGCACGGCGATGAATGGGGGATGTTACAATATTATGCATTTAATTGCGAGAAAACCGCTTTTGAGTTTTCCCTCTAAGTACAGAATAACAACATCTAAGCACAATTCCGACTGCAGTGGTAGAGCGACAGCCCCCTCCCTATATACCACAAGGGCATCAGTCGCATCACCATTAACCGTGGTAACAGCCATTTACTCGTAACCATATTAGGATGACTGCTAGCTTTAGTAGAGAGTGCTTGCGAGTGCAGTATATTTTCATGCTCTATCGCTAGTGAGCATGGGATAGAGCCTATAGTGACATGCTTCATCTAGCTGCTCTTACCACGTCGTTAACAATTTGCTTTACTAATAAAAGCCATAGAAAACCGCAGATATATGTGTCTTGTTACTCATAACTCAGCTGACGCTCTCACTCCTACATTTTCGTTCTGGTTGATGATATATATATATATATATATATATATATATATATATATATATATATATATATATATATATATCAAGAGTACATAATAGATATTACATAGTACATAATATCTCTATTATGTACTCTTGATATATCCTATATACCACACCAAAGACCACGGGTATTGCCAAATTAACAGTTCTTTTGCCAAGCTATTTACATAGATACGTGTGGTGCAAATAAATATTGCTTACTATGGATTTTGGCTGCTGTCAAGGTTGCTCATGTCATTGAAGTACAACACCATAAACACACTACATGCTCGATATGACTGCATACACGCATAGAGGCCCAGCCACCGGAAACAGCCAAGTGGGGCTATCTCACACTCCTATGAATTACAACGAATTTTAGATGCTTCACTAATTTTAAATATTGATTTAATTTTGAAATTAAACTTAAAACAGTTATTAGAAAATGAGGGGATGGCTCTTCACGCAGGCCATAACAATGTACAAACATTCAAGAAATATTACATTGTTTAAGTATAAGCACAGATCGGCTAAGAAAACTTTAGGCTCAAAAAACCATAAAACATGTAAAAGGAAGTTTAAATAAAACTAGAAAAAAACATGGCTAGATATAGCACAATAGTTTACCCAGATATATACCCCCTTAGGAAATATAGCTGTGCTGGTATTGACTGAACACATTAGAACACATTATATATTGTGAAATAGTGTTGGCTTATCCATGCGATGCTTGGAAGTCCAATGTGCAATGTACTTTAATCAAGCTCTTTTATATTCAGGTTATACTCTTGTGTCTATTATTCTTCCCGCGTCAACACAGTTACAGAGGCATTACAAAAACATAAAATAACAACTATATATTGTTTAACATCCATTTGTTTTCATGCCAATTTTATTACCAAACATATGCAATGAATATCAAGCAGTGTGTACTGTTAGCATCCGATATACATGACATGATTACTCATCTTGTTACAGTTTTTAAATAAAAAGAAAGTTCACTATTGTCAACAATTTAAAATTGTTCACAATTTTATTGCAATTCACATTGGTTTTGCTACCAATGATAGTACAAGATGTACACGATCTAAAAACAATACTTCAAAGAATAAAACTGCTTCCAACATATTTGTAATAACGAAAGTCTTACCTATAAGTAACTTACATCTCAACACAAATTAATCGTTAGCGTCCAGTGCTTTGATCATACGCTGACACAACACTGTCCAATCTGTGACCGGCCTATAGTCAACGATAGCTCCATGTGGGTGGTGTTAATTTTGTAAAGGTATTCGTTTTTAAACTGATCAAAAACTCACCATACGAAACAGCAGCAGAACTATAATATAAATATACTAGCTATAATTAACATAAGCTAGGTAAGGACGGTATGTAATGGATTTGTGTCGCGTATAGAGTTTAGAAGTTCCTAACCTGTTTTTATTCTAATTATGGACTACATTATGGACTTACACTATATGGACTACATTTGGCACTTTGACTGGACTGGATTGACAGCTGGTGACACAAAGATGGCATATATATAATCAATCACTATTACTACCAGCTGCACCTACCGATCACTAAAACTGCTACCACTAAATTTGTATCACTTGCCAGAGAGTCACTGACGATCACTTTACTCGCATGTGATGATAACAAGTAATAATTGCATGCAAGCACGGTTGAATATACATTCAGTAACGTTCTCCGATGTCAATCACTTGTTCTGGCGTTGCTGCTGGCTTAGAATTCTGAATGTGTCTTTCTGAACCATGTAGCTAAGGCCAGAGAGAACAGTAGTTGCTGCAGTGCAATACCTATAACATATTACAAAATGTATGTAACGTTTTATAATTTAAATAATGAATTTGAACTTTAATAACAAAATCCCATAATAGTGTCATAAGATTTCGTTATACAATATTAAATAATGTAATTTCAAGATCAATACAAAGTATTTACTGCTGTGACTGTTTCGACTTCAGATCTATCGTCTTTGTCAAGCTGCACTGAAAATGTGCTTGAAATTTGTCACCAAGTGACAGGAGGTGATATCTATTAGGAAAACAATCAGCTGTTGGTAAGGGAAGGTCTCAGATCTGGCGAATGGATCCAAGGCTTCAGGAAATCGTTAGATACACGATTTTATTTATATGAGACCTCGGCTCTGATTATGGTTATTTGGCATTTGTAAATTCTATATAATGCTCGGGCATGGACACCGTTTACCACTGAGAACTCCATATTCTATATATTATATAGAATATACCATATATTCTTCATATTCTGATATTTCTCTTTCATATTCAGTGAAGCAGGCTTCAAAATAGTGTCCGATCTCTTCTATGTGTACCTTGGTCTGTACACGCTGTGATGTATACACTATGTATACAAGGGAATTAGTCATTACAACCCCACCACGACAGCCAAACAAGTCAGTGATCACAGATCACATAGTCAATCACAACCTTATCCCTGACTGGTCTGCTGCAGATATTAAAAAAAGTTATTCTCAACAGACAGATTAGAGTCCACTCAAATTTGAAAAGCACAGTTAAACATGAACAGAAATGAGAATATAAATTATCACACGTATTTAACTATCTCCTCGAGACTAGAACCCGCCCACCAGAGCCCCCAGTTTCCGGATAGATTGTATCACCTAAGCCAACTGGTGGCAAGTTCAAGTAAATGATCAGTAGAGCTTGACAAAGTGGAACAGCTGTTGAAACGGTTACTTCAGTATTTTTTTGGAATTATCCAGAAATTAAACTATTTCGTACATTAATACTAAGGTAACAAAACCTTTATTAATGGTTGCCTTTTGATAATGTTATAAATCAACAACTGAAGAGATGACTATGAGAATCTGTTGATAGTTATCAGGGAAAATTTATTTTTCGGGGGCTACTTTTCAAGCTCGCGTGCATGAAAATAGCACTCTGAAATTTGGTTTGCATTGAACTCTATGCAAATTTTAGGTGGGCTCTTTTTGGCATTTCCGGCGCTCTTTTTGGCATTTCGGGGGCTAAATCGCCCCGAGCCCCCGTGTATTTTTTTCACTAATAGTTATAACAGAAACTGCGCATTAACAGTATGTTACTCACCACAGTGCCTGTAGGTAGGGATGATCAATATATCCCAGCACAGGTGCAGTCAGTGTGAACACAACAAGTGATAGCTGTACTGTGGTGTTAACCTGTGAAAATGTTATATGGTAATTTCAGCTTGATTTCATGGAAAACATTTGATAGACAATCGTGAGATGACACAACGTGCCTATGTGCACAACCTCACTAGCTGATAAACTGCAAAAAGAAAAACAATATTAAATAACATTAGCTCTATGCTCGATTATTTTCTGTGATTAATGTACTTATTTATTCTCTCGAACTCACTGCCATGAGTACAGGCAATAAACTACTGGCCTTACTTCATGTGTGAGTGCATGCGTGCAATATAAAAGAATAAAGTAGATGGTAGTCTAAAATTCCTGCTGTGACATCAGTATAGAGGTTTAGAATATAAAGCAAGATTGAATTAACTGATGTATAGTTATTCCAATGAACTAAATTTTCGATCATTCCTTCTTGATAACACTTTACGTACCGTAAAATGAATACATGTATTGCAATAATTCATTCTATTAGGTGCCACATACACATATGTTACATTAAATAATCCAGAGAGACATGATACAAGATTGCGTGGCACAGCTTTGCTGTTGATCCTGAGCGCTGCGCGCAGATGAGACGCGCAGTTCCGCGCCATATGTGCACGCGACCGCGGGGATGTTCAAGTATGAAGCACTGTCCGCAGTAGAGACGTGCGCCAAATTCGAGGCCCGGCGCACGTCTCCACAGTGGTCAGCGGATAGTCTGTAGTTTTAGAAGATAACAATGAAGACTTTGTTCTAAATAAGAACTATCGGCGGCTAAATATGAGCAATATACAGCCCTTTGAATAGTCAGTCAAATGGCTTGTTGGGGGTCCATTATGCAAAGCTTCCAATTGAAATGGCCCATGAAATTGTCAGATGGAATAGTGTTTTTCGGAACCCCAAAGAAAATATCTCCCTCTTACATGCACCCCCTCCCTGATCAATCACACATTCAGGCGTAAACAATAACAGAGATGAAATGGTGTTGAGTTTGTGGCTCTTGACGCCCGTGCATTGACGTACAAGACTGTTGAAAGCACAGGCACTTGCAACGTCTCAATAAAAATAAATATTCACACGATTTTTCACAATGATCGACTGCCTGTGTGCAAAATAGGTGAACGTATGTGAAATATATACGGTTAGTACTTACTGTCACATATCCGTGACTAACTGACACCACTAAATTGGTAAAATGTTCCATGCACCTTAAGAAATTCTGAGAAATTCTGAGGTTATTATCGCAAAACTACCGAACACTGCCCATCCTGACGTCACAAAGCTATACGTAAACAAACACGCGCCTTACAGTAACGTTGTGAGTGTTGCGAGGTGCCTGCCTCCGATATTCATTTCGAGGCCCATTAAGCCAAGCATAACGCGCAGGCATGACGTCACACAGACAGCTACGTTCATTGGCTAAAACAATCGAGTAGCGCGGGTAGGGATTTTCGAATTATTTAATTTTAAGAAAAACTTCAGTGTTCAATGAATGATGCACTCGTTCACTTCCGGAAGTGAGTAAAAATGCCGAACTTATCCACTTTGATGCGAACTGCATCGGCCGGGCCTTTCATTATTTACGAAAAGCAAACAGTCTCGCCAAACAAATACACGCAGTAACGGGTCACGTCGTTGACGCCCCATTCATTCCCATCATCGAAGAAGACGGGGATTATTCTGATTACGGAGATGCGAAAATGCAACAGAAGGACATAGCGCAGTGCGCTAAACAGCGAGTTATTTTCGTATTTGTGGCAAACTCTATCGTAGGAAACGGTTCTAGCATAGCAGAATGCCCTAGTTCCTGAGATCGGCGATTTGGTGGTCCAATGGGTCCCCATCTTTAAAAATATCAAAGACTGGTACGGCGTAGACTGTGATTAGAAGACACAGTGTCAATCCTCGGCACGCCTCGTCATCATGGCCGCATCATATCAAGTAAAGTATTCCACCAATACAATGAAAGTGTCAATGACACTGTAGCTCACCACAAAAAAGGACACAAATGAGTGAGTGAGAAGAAGTCAGTTTTAGTTGAGCCAACATCGACGTACATTATAGAAACGAAGAGGGGAGAACTCAATTATTCTAGAACAATATTGATAATTATATGTGTAATTTTTTATGTGAAAATAATAAATAATATTATATATAAATTATAAATAATTTATAAACCAAAATGAATCACAATTTGTGACGGTAGATGGCGCTATACCGCTTTGATGTTTCTTAGCATAAATCATTATATCATAATAATAATAATATAATAATAATAGTATAAATCATAATATGTTCATAGCAGGAATTTTGCATTAAAGATATTGTCAATGAAATCTTGTAAAACAAACCAGACGAGTGTGACACCACAGACTGTTTGTTATCTGCGTGTCTATATAATATGCTATATAATTGCCAAACCCTACCTAATTTGCTTCTTTTTTTTTAAATATCAAAACCCCTAGCCCTTATTCATTCACATACCAAAAATGAGCAAAATCCGTTGAACCTGAACTGACTAATGGCAATTCCCATTTTTGCCAAAAAATTGCCGTGGCTCGAAAATACGTCGACTGGCATGCTCCAAAATAGGACGTTTAATATGGGAGCATAGCAGTAACAACTATACCCAATTTCAAACATGTGGGTCAAACGGTTCCTGAGTTATCGTTGACCGTAGCCAAATGTTGACGGACGGACGGACGGACGGACGGACGGACGGACTTACGACGACCCATGGCAATAGCTCAGCTTGACGATGTCAAGGTGAGCTAAAAAGAATGTTAGCATTGCAACTCTCCCTCACAGTCATTCTCTTACCAATAGGTATTTACAAGGATACATTAATCAATGGTTTATGCATTTACCTTACTAATCAGAGTTGGCTGCAGCTGCGCAGTTGCATGTCTCACATCAAAGTACCGAGCAATAGTCCTCTACAAAATGCAACACCAGTGTAAAGGCAGATTAGAGGAAAGTGTCGAATCTTTTGTTTAAACAATCCCAATATGGTCGTGTCAATACCAATAAGCCAATAAGCACGTTTTGAATTGCTCAAATGTTCGAATAGTTTCTAAAATCTGGGAATGATTGCACATTTACTATTTTCAAATTTAAAAGTCTATTACCTGCACATCTAAAACACTTCTGTAATCTCGTATTTGTTTATGAAATTGGGTCAATACAGAAGAAGCAGTTAGATTCTTAGAAGCCATGGTGACATGGAATGCCAGTTAATAGATGGAAGACATTACCACACAATTATGTACTTACAGGAGGTGGCAGTGATACATATCTCACGTAGAAGCCACCAGCAATTAAGCTAGCATCTCTAGCAAGAATTAATGCCGTCAGTGGAACTGAAAATATGTATAATTACAATGCATGCATTATAATACCATCACAAACCAAAACTTAGTACAAGCATAACAAAGAACTATCTAGCTCACTTAGGTTAACCAGATATACCAGGGACCCCTTACCTGGTATCAGATTCATGACAGTTAGTGTAATAGTAAGGATGCTGACCAAGAGCTTATCTGCCAATGGATCAAGATAACTTCCAAGTGCTGATGTCTGGCCTTTGAAATTTCTTGCAATATATCCATCAAGCTATAATGTAGATAGAAACATCAAAATGTCAGTAGACTTATTAAACAATGTTACATGACAAAATATATACGACATACAGGAATGTGCCCATGGTTGGCAGTAATGAACTGGGCTGTCTAACACCAGAGGTCTAACCATCTAAGACTGGCACTTCTGCTCCATGCAAACAAGCAGTTTGTTAACTGTTTTCCTGTCAGTACACATCTACCCAGTGGAATCATTTTGATCTTATCTGAACCAGGCAACATGCATAAAAGTTGGCATCACACAAAGGTCGGAGATTTCGTACATTTAGAGAAGTATAAATAAGAATCATTACAGATAAGGATTTGCTGTGAATCATTCAGCAGTACAGAAGCAATTTATGCAGGTAATAAGCAATCATTATTCACAGCTTATCGGTCTTTATAAAGTTTTCATATTGATAAAATAATATGTCATACAATGATTATGGTTAAGAGACGGTTCACATATAAAATATTTGATTTTAGATTTCCAACCGAACAAACAGGATAAATACAAATTGTATTTTTTGACTCGGCAGGAATGACCAGGCCGAGGCGAGTCATACCAGGTCTGTGATGCCTGCTATACCAAACAGAGTGACTGCTATTCCATAGCTTTCTTCCAGTACTAGGTATCCAATCACAGGTGCCAATACAATTCGAATGCTGGTCAGGACATTAGGTACTGTCAAAATGTTTTCCTTCTGAAATTATAAATTTTAGTAATTATAAAAAGTATACATGTATATATACTAGGGCGTATAATATGTACCTTAACGCGTGCAATTTTTGTAAAAAACAACAACAACATTAAACAAATATTTCTGTCTATTAGTTTGTAGCAATAGGGTGAACTCGCCCCACACAGAAAGATAAGTGGGGTTGCAGTTGAATTAATTTCTACTCGTGAAAACAATTTGAGACATTGTTTATGAACACAGTGCTCCAGATAATTTTTGGCGTTGATGAGTATTTACTCACCATTTTTTTATGTATGAGTATCGGCAAGATCCCTATG